AAAAAAAATTTTAAAAAAAAAAAAAAAAAAAAAAAAAAAAAAACGAAATATTTCTGGCAAATACTCGCGAGAATGACGAATATACAAGTTCACTAATGTCAATGTACCTACAGTTCTATTTCCAGAGTCTCTGGAAAAAGCAATTCCAATCAGATCCATTGTACAATATTGTTGCGAGTATTGTCCGCTCATATGTCGTGTTGTACTTCTCGCTCTCACATGCGCGTTACTGTAAGTACTGAAAAGCGAAGAGGACGTACGTATTACAATTCTACAATTTGATTATCTCTTAACATAATTCAAATACTAGGTATATTAATTTGATTAATAATATATAAAGGCGAGCGGTTACCTCAGCCCCTCTACCGGTCAACGGTGGCGAGGCTGAGTGTTGAATATTAATTCCGAGACCCCGAAAGGCCTGTATAAAGTTGGTGAGTAGCGTCATGCTGATTCATGAGACGATGTCTTATTGTCGCTTCTTACTAATAATGCCGTTTACGGCAGGTAGAAATGAAGTTTACTTTGAAAGTATGTGTGAAAATCGTATTCATCCTCGGAGATATAATGGGTACAGGAAATGAAGCAGTGATCTGTAAGTAAATTAAAAAAAAAAAAAAAAAAAAAAGAAAATAAAAAAAAAAAAAAAAAAAAAAAAGGAAATTAAAAAAAAAGACAAAAGAAAGGAAATGCGAATTGCCAAGAAAAGTACATTTTTTTTTTTTTTTTGAAAAATTGAGTCTCGGAATTGTAAATATTTCTTTTTTAAAACCAAAATTTGTCTTCTTTAATTAATTAATATATAATAAAACTTCGATTGGTTAATTCATGTAAATTTGTCATATAGATGGATAAGTTTCAATATTATTACAATTCATTCAAAAGATTTTTTGATTAACTTTCAATTTGTAAAAAAAGAAAAAAATGTAAACGATTAATTTAATGAAATCTTCAATCGAGGTTTTAGTTTATGTTAATCTTGTGATGTTAAAATTCAAATATTTTCCAATTCATCATTGTTTTAAACATGTGTATCATTAGGGAAAGTCTATGTAGAATTGAAATGAAATATGAAATTATTAATCATAATGCATATTATTGTAACGCGCAATAGTATTCCTTTCAGTTTATATTCACATAAAACTTTAAATCTATTAAATCTCCGTTTTATTTGAAAATAATAATGATAATTTAAAAAAAAGAAAGAATGAATGATTGAGCGAATAAATGAGTGAGTGAATGAGAGAGAGGAAGAGAAACAGAGACAGAGACAAACTAAAATCAAGAGGAAAATTATACAATGATCGTTAATGATTAAGCGTTTATTTTGGCAATTTGCAAGGCGATAAAATTACCCATGAGAAAAAAAGAGAGTGAAAAGTGGCATGAACAGTGAGCGAGAGGGAGAGAGACATTTATTTAGGGGAACTATACAACGCGCCAGTTTTATTAGAAAAATTTTCTTCAACATTGGATGTACGTATTGAATTCGTTTTCTAAATCGTCTAGAATTCACATATGGCAATTTCGTGTTCTACGTATATAGTATAATAAACCTATTAGGCTATAAGTTGTTTCATAGACCATTGAACATATGAACTTAAGGTGTGTGCTGATTGTAGCTTCATTGCCATCGCATTGTCGTGTCAGGCGGAGAGGTGTTACCACTCTGTAAGTGAACATAACAAAATATTTATCTGTAAATTGAATTGCATTTTTACTTTGTCTATAAACAAAAAAGAGAAAAAAATATAATGATAATATTATATTGGTCGAATGTAAGTATATATGCGTGTATATATGTATGAATAAATAAATATATAATATAGTATATTTATTTATTCGATTTAAATAAAAATATATATACACGTAGATATAATTACTTTGTAAGCTCGAATATTTATATCGAAAGTGTTTGTATATTCTTATACCTAAATAAAAAAAAAAGAGAAGGGGAAAAAAAGATATATTTACACGTATCTTTCTAGATAATTAGGGTTTTTAATTTCTGCCGTTGTTATGTTTTAAATAATTTAGTTAATTTTATCTAAGATTTAACTAGTTTAGTTTCTATTTACGGAACAGCCAATTGAGAATCTTGTTCTTGTCGTAATATAATCTTTCATAAAACAAGTCGGGAGGGATTATATGTATATATATGTATATATATATATATAAAATAAACCCAATGAGGCTTCTTGAAATTGAATATAATAATAAGCTAATATTAAATGGTTTGTGAATCGCAGCGCATGGACCTGGGAGAATGCCCCCAGATTCACGACTTGGCCCTACGGGCTGACTATGAGGCTGCGCAAAAGAAGAAGGACCATTTTTACGACATCGATGTGA